GTTGCAGTAAGCTGAGATCATGCCATTGCACTCCAGCCTGGGCAACAAGAACAAAACTCCATCTCAAAAAAAAAAAAAAAAATCATTATAGTAGGATATAGGAATGCTTTGGTTTTTGTTTCTGTTATTACAAACTATCTTACTGAACTCTCAGTTTGAGACTGACTTTTTGGATTAGACATATACATAATCTGCAAGTATTTACAAATTTTATCTATACCCTTTCAGTAGTTTTATTGCTGATTTCTTTGTTGGGTATGGATATCAGAACTGCCATTATCATTATAATTTTACAGTTATCGCTGATCTATTCCTTCTTCCTTAAATTACTCTGCAATTAGAGAAATAATCAGGACACAGTAGCTTTGTGAGTTAGTGCTTGCTCTGTAATCACACAGTACAGAACTCAGGCTTGTCAGAATTTAAATAGCATTTAAAATTGCTTGTAAGATAAACAGAGAGTTGTGTTGCAAAGCACCTGAAAGGAAACAAATTACACGTCTCACAACAAGATACTCTTGCCTAAAGGCTAGAATCAAAGTTAGACCAATGGAAGATTAACTTGGAGAAGGAATAATACTTAAGTCAGTGAAAAGTTATTTTTATTGTTGATGTTGGAGTACAATTGTCTACTGTGGTGACAGGGAGCACAGATTCTAGGGACGCTGTGCCTGGTGGGAATCTTCAGCGCTGGGCAAGTTACATATCCTCTCTTTGTGTTTCAGTTTCCTCATCTGTAAAATGGGAGTGATAATGGTACCCAGTTCCCAGGGTTTATAACAATTAAATGAGTTGCTATTGATAATCATTATTTAAGTAAATACAATACTAGAGATGTAAGTGCAATGAAGGTGTCTGATCTATATAATGCAATCTACAAAATAGTTTGAGGGGCCAGGTACTGTGGCTCACACCTATAATCCCAGCACTTTTGGAGGCTGAGGCAGGCAGATCACTTGCGGTCAGGAGTTTGAGACCAGCCTGGCCAGCATGGTGAAACCTTGTCTCTACTAAAAAATCCAAAAATTAGCTGGGCTTGGTGGCAGGTACCTATAATCCTAGCTACTCAGGAGGCTGATGCAGGAGAATTGCTTGAACCTTGGAGGCAGAGGTTGCAGCGAGCTGAGATCACTCTACTGCATTCTAGCCTGGGTCACAGAGTGAGACTCTGTCTCAAAAAAAGAAAAAAAAAATAGTTTCAGGATAATTTAATCTAAATCTGATGTACCCAGTCACACTTTACCAAGGGATCTGGGAGCTGACATTTGTCCCTGACACGCCAGCCCCTCCCCACCCACCTTCCTGCACACCCCAGGGCCTCTACCTCGCTCCACTCCACATAGCCTGCTGTGTACACCCGCTGTAAGGAAAGAGGTATGCCTGTTAAACACACAGAACCCCAACAGTAACTGGAAGTCTACATCTTGTGGCTGTAGTAGGAGTAACCTTCCCATTTTTCTAGAACAAGAGGCCTGAACTTTGCGCTGGTTATTTTTGTAAGGCACCCAGCTATTTCCTAGTTGAAAGTTATGATCTAGACAGCTGGACTTGAACTTCGAGAGCCAGATAAGGAGCTATGACTGTGCCTCTGAAGAATGATATTAGGCAATGGAAGCTCATGAACTTCTCCTTTTCGGTAAAGAGACCCTCCCATGGTGTAGGTTTTAGAAAAAGGGGAAATGATCTGCCCGTGGAGATGCGATGGACTCAGAATATTAATGAGATAAATAGATTTTTAATATAAAGCATATTAAACCTTTTTAGCTCTAACATTCTATGATTATTTAAAATATATGTCTTACATTTAGAATATAATATTAGAGCTCCAACTCTAACTTGCAGCATCTTCGTCTCTGGGGGAAGGCAAAGGGACCCAGGCAGTGAGGAAAGCAGAAAAATCAGGCAGACTCTGATGTGACTGGGAGGGTGGCCTCCTGGTACCACAGGTAAGCTGTGCTAGAGGTTTCATGGTGGCTCAGTAATATCAGATAATACAGTGATAAGAAGGGGTCTGCACTGAAACTTCAAATAATCCACATTACATTAATTATGTAGTTTTTAGTTTTTTGGGTAGAGATTGGGGTCTTGCTATGTTGCCCAGGCTGGTCTCAAACTCCTGGCCTCAAGTGATCCTCCTGCCTTGACCTCTCAAAATGCTAGGGTTATAGATGTGAGCTACTGTGCCTGGCCAAAATAATTTGGTCTTTTGTAGGTAGAAGCAACCCAAGTGTCCACTGATGGCTAAATGGAGAAATATGCATGGTATATATACACAGTGGAATGTAACTCAGACTTAAAATGGAAGGAAATGCTGTCACCTGCTACAATGTGAGAAAACCTTGAGGACATAATGCTGAGTGAAATAAGCTAGTCACAAAAGGACAAATGCTGTATGATTCCAGCTAGATAAGGTACCTCATACAATTCATCAAGACAAAGTAGAATGGTGGATGCCAGGGCTGGGTGGAGAGGAGAATGGGGAGTCAGTGTTTAAGGGGGCGGAGTTTCAGTTCTGCAAGATGAAGAAGTTCTGGGTATGGCCGGTGGTGTCGGCTGCACAATAGGATGACTATACCTGATGTCACTGAAAAAATAGTTAGGGTGGCAAACATTGTTATGTGTATTTTAGCACAATTTAAAACTAATTTTTAAGAAAACAATTTACCCTTTTTTTTATGCAATCACAAAAGGAGGAAGACGAAAGCCAGTGCAGTTTCCCCAGAAAACAAGCCAGATGGTGTGAATCCAACAGACTCCACATCAAATCAGCCACACCAAAGGTCAGGAGATCTGTGTGGAGATAAACTTTCAGAGAAGGCAACCAGGGCACATCTCTGTTTTAAAACCATCTCCCGGGCCGGGCGCAGTGGCTCACGCCTGTAATCCCAGCACTTTGGGAGGCTGAGGTGGGCAGATCACTTGAGGCCAGGAGTTTGAGACCAGCCTGGCCAACAGGGTGAAACCCCATCTCTACTAAAAATACAAAAATTAGCCAGGCATGGTGCACATCTATAATTCCAACTACTCAGAAGGCTGAGGCACGGGAATCGCTTGAACCTGAGAGGCGGAGGTTATCATGAGCCGAGATCGCGCCACTGAACTCCAGCCTATGCGACATAGCGAGACTCTGTCTCAAAAAACAAAAAACCCACAAAGATAAAACCATCTCACTACCATGAGCCCTCCACATTTGAAATTCATGAAAATGGACAGCTGTCATGTCCCCATATGAATTTTCAGGTCTCACTAGAAAGATAACCTCAGGACCGGCAAGATGGGATCCAACAACAGTTGCTGGTCCAATTTTTTAAAAAGGAGGAAAGGAGGCAGGCTGGCGTCATGCAACACTGCTTGCGTTAAAGTATATACATTTAAATGATGTACCTTGAACTTTTATTGGAAAAGCGAAGCCCAGTAGTAAAAATTTACATTAGGCCGGGCGTGGTGGCTCAAGCCATCCCAGCACTTTGGGAGGCCGAGACGGGCGGATCACAAGGTCAGGAGATCGAGACCAACCTGGCTAAACCCGGTGAAAACCCATCTCTACTAAAAAATACAAAAAACTAGCCGGGCGAGGTGGCAGGCGCCTGTAGTCCCAGCTACTCGGGAGGCTGAGGTAGGAGAATGGCGGGAACCCGGGAGGCGGAGCTTGCAGTGAGCTGAGATCCGGCCACTGCACTCCAGCCTGGGCGACAGAGCGAGACTCTGTCTCAAAAAAAAAAAAAAAAAAAAAAAATTTACGTTAATCAAATTCATGGAGACAGAAAGTAGCATGGCAGTTGCCAAGGGCTGGGGAAAGGGATGCCCATTCCACCTTCAGCTCTGCGAATCTGGGGAGTCAGTGTTTAATGTGTACAGAATTTCAGTTTGGGAAGATGAAAAAGTTTTGGAAGTGGATGATGGTGATGGCTACACACTAGAGCACTTAAAACCACTGAACTGTACACCTAAAAGTGGTTAAAATGGTAAATCTTAGGTATATTTTATCACAATAAAATTATGTTAAAAGTTTTACATTAAAGAAAAGGGCCAGGTCAACCTGCTACTTTATAGCATCCTGTCCAGCTATAAAAATAGTGTTTATGACAAGTATGAAGTAGAATTGGAAATGCTTATGACAAAGTTCATGACAATTATGTCTCTGCAAAAATAAACAACACCAAAGGCCCTAAGGAAATACATCAAAATAGAGCCATGGGTGTTTTTATGTCACAAAGAAGATACAAATATTTTTTTCTTTACTTCTCTTTTCCAGTGTTTTTTTTTTTTTTTCTTTTTTTCCATGAGCAGGTACTACTTTTAAAGGGGGAAAATAACAAAGTTCATTTTCTTCCATAACTTCATTTGAAAAGAAAGGGAGGAAGAACAGAAAGAAAACCCTTTATGTTTTGTGTTCCTAGAGGCTTTTAAGCCCAGCTCAGGAAAAGGGCAATTAATCAGGCTGGCAACTGCTTTCAGCTCTCTGTTTTTTTGTGTAGTGGATCCCCCGGGCAGGCTGGTGAAGCCTGTGGGGCATTCTTGGAATAACATTTTTAAATGCATGTAACAAAACATAGGGTTATGAAGGAAACTGATTATTCTGAAACACGTTGTCAAAAAATATTTTTAAATCCTGATACAGTATATCAATCAGAGCCAAGTCAGGAAAAAAGAAATGACAGCAGTGATTTCAATAGAAGCAGTACAGGAAGCCCCTAAACAGGTGTTGCATGGCTGAAAAAGCAAAGGAGGTCTCATGCCACAGAGGCCTCATCTCAGGAACAGCTAGGGCTGGAGACAAAGACCGGGGTGATGGTCTCAGAAGGCTTGGAGTGGGGACCCGGACCGCGGGGGCTCAGGCGGGACTGATGAGGGTGGTCTCTGGGCATGTGAAAAACACTACAAACGGAACCAACAGCTGCTGCCAGGGTGAAGTCCCGTTGCTGGGGTGACGCTCAGAGAAACAGGAAGCAGGCAGGAAGCAGCGTGCTCCGGGCTCCCTCCTCCCACTGCCCAGGCTCTTTGGCCCTCCTGGGGGCAGGGCCCGATAGGGCACAGCTCTGGCCCTGTGGTAAGGAAGGGAGGGTTTGCAGTGGAGAGGCAACAGTTCAACAGCCAGCACATGCATGCACGTCCTTATTCTACCAAATACCGACGGTGATGCCTGCCAACCATTTCCCCAGCTCTCAGCAACAACCCTAAAGTGACAGAGAAATATCTGTGGTTTCTATTGGTGCTGAGGTCACACAGACTTCTAATGCTACTGAAGGTTTTTGCCGGCATTCATAATGGAAGGTAATGCTACCCTTTTATTCCTATTCAATTTCGGGGATCTCTGGAAATCTATCCAAAGGCCCTTGGGGGAATTCTTGGACCCAAGGTGAAGAATCCCTCTGGGCCTTTCAAGGTGTCAAGTACAGTTCTTTTGTCTTCCTTAATTTTTGCATTTGAAAGTCACAGGGTTTTAAAAAATGTTTTTAAAGCAAAAATAATAAGAGGGCAAACACATGCCATTCTGCACAGCTCTCATTTAACGGACACTGATGGCCACTCCGGCAGATAGCAAACAGTCACTTTTGCAGGGTATCACATTTTGCCTATTTCTGAATGTCACAGAAAAGAAGGAAAATGCACAACTGCCCTTGCGTCCTTGCCCCTGCGCATCTGCGGGCGCAGGCTAGGATTCCGGAGGGCTGCAGAGCTCTTTCCTGTAACACCCCACCACCCACTTTGACCATGACCTAGATGTTGATGGGCACCCTGTCCATATTTCCAATCCTGACTCCTCCAAGCCTCAGCCCCGGCCGTCTGGACACCTCTTCCTGGAAGCCCCTGAGGCACCTCAAATGTGACACATTCAAAGCAGAACTTCTGCCGCCTCCTGAGTCCTTCCTCTGCATTTCCTTCCTGGGGGGGCTCCTGCCGCCTCCTGAGTCCTTCCTCTGCATTTCCTTCCTGTGGGGGCTCCTGCCGCCTCCTGAGTCCTTCCTCTGCATTTCCTTCCTGGGGGGCTCCTGCCGCCTCCTGAGTCCTTCCTCTGCATTTCCTTCCTGTGGGGCACCACCAGTGCTCCTGGTCCTTCCTCGCATTTCCTTCCTGGGGCACCACCAGTGCCTCCTGAGTCCTTCCTCTGCATTTCCTTCCTGTGGGGCACCACCAGTGCCTCCTGAGTCCTTCCTCTGCATTTCCTTCCTGTGGGGGCACCACCAGTGCCTCCTGAGTCCTTCCTCTGCATTTCCTTCCTGGGGGGCACCACCAGTGCCTCCTGAGTCCTTCCTCTGCATTTCCTTCCTGTGGGGCACCACCAGTGCCTCCTGAGTCCTTCCTCTGCATTTCCTTCCTGTGGGGCACCACCAGTGCCTCCTGAGTCCTTCCTCTGCATTTCCTTCCTGTGGGGCACCACCAGTGCCTCCTAGCAGACTTCACTTGAAGTCCCTGTGCCCAGACTCGTGTGTAAAGGAGAGACAATAATAGCGACAACTTTATAGGGGTGGTTTTTGTGAGGATGAAACGAGACAATAGACAGTGTTTGTAGACGACGCACTCTGCACAGAGCCTTAGTGTCAGGAAACGCCCACCACTCACTACCAGCTGCTGGCGCTCCCGAGACAGCCTCCGCCCACCTCTCCGCCCGTCATCGAGTCAGCTTCCTCTCTCAATGCCACTCCGTGCCCTCCCACGGCTGCTGTCTTAGAGCAGGCCTCTGCATGTGTCCTCAGAATGATCTGAATTGTCCCCAAACAGTCCCCCCCCGGCCTCTGCCACCAATGTGACTTCCTTCATTCACACATTGATTCATTCCATCAACAAACACGGACCCAGGGCCTCCCCCGTGCCAGATACCACGCCAGCTACAGACAGAACGACCGACCAGGGGCAGCTGCACCTTCTGGGGAGGACTGATGTCAGATAACCACACACCCAGTGAGGATAACTGTGAGGAGCCACCCCACACCATGCCCGGCACTGGCTGTGCAGACAGGAAATCCAGAGAGAAGTGCAGAGGCGCAGGGAGAAGGTGAATCTCACCCCTCAGGTCTCTTGGCGAGACCCTGGTGAGGCTTCACCTTGAGAATGGGGTAATGTCCAAACTCCTCCCGGACGCCTACGGAGGCTTCCTGGCGAGGCCCTGGCATCCTACTGCCCACGGGCCCTCCCAGCACTGTCCCGTCTTTGTCCCGTCTCCTACAGACCAGGGACACAGAGGTCTGTTATGCCGCCTGGTGGTGACTTAGAGCCTTGGAAAGGGAATTCCCATGTTTATTTTTTATTTTTTCAGTGAAACCACGTATAAAGATGCAGCAGATTTGTAATAAAAGAAGACCCAGCCCTCAGCTGAAGAAGTTAGGCTAATCCGTGTGGGGGTTTCATTTCACCTGAAGAGAAGGTCCCTCCTTCACTGTCTCACAAAGTGAAAGAAAGCACAATGTGTGGTAAGTCTGTTCTTCACCTAAAACGATGGTACACTGCCACCGTATTGTAAAAGAATTTCTCATGCTTTGTGAAGAATGAAACACTGCAACCATTTATATAAGACACCAAAATTCAGTATTTTGTGACTTATCTATAGCAATACCTGGAAACACAGATGACTCAAATTGAGAGGTTATGTTCAGAGCTTCAATATCAGGGACATAGTTACAAGGATATATCATCCACATTTAGATACTGTAAAGTCTTATTTCAAAATATGATAAAGTAGATATTCTCTTAGAACAATCAGAAGGAAACCAAATTTAGAACGTATCAACAGCGGGTGCCCGGGTGAAATCCTGGCAAGGACAAATATTGAAAAAATAGTTCAATATTTTTTCAAGAACAAGATAAACTTTGTGTTGAGGAGTACAGAACATTCCCTGCTTTCTTTCCATTTTGACAGAACCATCTGATCATAATGGAAACCTACGTTTTAAGATCTTTTATTTTTTTATTTTTCAAATATTAAATTCTCCTTGAACACAAAACACTGATTCTCTTGCATAAGAACCACATTCCCCACCTTGATTTTAAGAGATTCATTCCTATTGCCAGTAGATAGCTATATACTGTCTACTATTTTTTAAAAAGCCACTAAGGAAACAAGAAGTTGGGGCACTGATCCTTACTCTCTAAAGTTATTGTAAAGCTGGCCGGCTGTGTACGCTCAAGGAATTCCAGAAACCATGAGAAGGAACTGAAGGAAGGTGACCCAGCAAGGCAGGTTCTGCTGTGGTTCAAGCCAACCATGAGGAGGGTCTGAGTTTGGGCAGAGCAGAAAGGAGTGGACTTCGAAAACCTTTTAAAGGCAGAGTTCATGAATGGGGCAGTGGACAGATTTGCAGGACCAAAGGTAGCCGGAGGTGGTCAGACTGGGCATTTGCAGAAAGCGGCTACAGTTAAGGGTAAGCTCGTGTAAAGGCTAGTTTTCAGGGCCAAAAGATAACTTCAGCTCATGAGTAGCTTATGCTTTAGTGAGAAATCACATAAAGTGAAAGTCAAGAGATCAACACATGTGGATGGGAAGAGAAGTAGAAATTGCTACGCTGTTTTTTGTTTTGTTTTGTTTTTTTGAGATGGAGTCTTGCTCTGTCACCCAGACTGGAGTACAGTGGCGTGGTCTTGGCTCACTATAACCTCCACCTCCCGGGGTTCAAGCAATTCTCCTGCCTCAGCCTCCCAAGTAGCTGGGATTATAGGTATGCACCACCATGCATGGCTAATTTTTGTATTTTTAGTAGAGATAGGGTTTCACCATGTTGGCCAGGCTGGTCTTGAACTCCTGACCTCAAGCGATCCACCTGCCTTGGCCTCCCAAAGTGCTGGGATTACAGGCTTGAGCCACCGCGCCCGGCCACTATGCCATATTTTTTATTTTTATTTTTTGAGGCGGAGTCTTGCTCTGTCACCCAGGCTGGAGTGCAGTGCCATGATCTTGGCTCACTACAACCTCCACCTCCCGGGTTCAAATGATTCTTCTGCCTCAGCCTCCCAAGTAGCTGGGATTACAGGTGCTGCCATCACCATGCCTGGCTAATTTTTGGATGTTTAGTAGAGATGAGGTTTCACTATGTTGGCCAGGCTGGCCTCCAACTCCTGAGCTCAAGTGTACTGGCCTCAACCTCCTAAAGTGTTGGGATAATAGGTGTGAGCCACCACGCCCAGTCAGAATTCATATTCATAGACCAGAAAGTATCACTGAAATGTGGGCAATTCAAGCGTCACGCTATGGTGGAAATTTTAGAAGGAGAGGCTCATTTGATCAGCCTAATAACAAATGTGTGGCCACATGCCATCTATAATCACAGTACCGCCACATTTGGAGTCTACCATGTGTGCGAGAAGTTCCTTGGTAACATTTTGCTGAATCAATAGGAAGTTACCTTTTTTATTTTTCCGAATACAGGTGCTTGGTACAGGCCAATATTTTATATGATGCAATATTATATATTTTAAAGGATCTAGACAGAAAGGAAAAAAAAAAACAATTTTTTCAGAGATAAATGCCATGTTAAACTACTTCTACCTAAGTAATTGTCTGCTGAAAATAACTATTTACTGAAACACTGAATTTGAAAAGAATGATACTGTATTAAGTCATATCATTTCGTTAAAGATGCAAAAGCCAAAATAAGGAAAAGAAATTCTCAACCTGGTGAACAGTGAAAAAGCATTAAGAAAAGATGTTGCCAGATGGTTTAATTACAGCACTTAAATGTGATTTACTTAGAGAGGGCATCTAGTAAAGGAATACACAGACACACATGCATGCGGGCGCACACACACACACGTGTGCACACACACATGTAGGCATGCACACACCTGCACACACACACAGGCATGCACACGTGTGTGCAGACATAGGAGCTGTCTATGAGTGGCGGCCCAGTCCCTGGCCAGCTTCTCCTGAAGGGACACAGACATGGGGAGCAGGGGTGACGAGCTGCCCACTGCGGGGTGAGAGCTCCTGAGCCTCACCTGAGTCACTCCTTGCTGCCCCAGCTTCTGTCCCCTTACCTGTCTTCCTCATCCCTGTGCCCCAGCTCTTCCTACCACAGTTCCCTTTAGTTGCTAGAAAACAAAAGGCTCACATGACATGAAACGTATTGTTGCAATAGGTTCATCTCTGATTTAAACATCTCCAACTTAAAAGTACCCAACCTATAAGCCAGTAAGAGAGCATCTATTCTGTGCCTTCCTGGGTTTCTGATGTGTGACAAGCAAATTAGCATTCGTGGGATCACGGATGTGCCCCGATTTGCTTTCATAAGTCGAGGTGAAGCGTTTCAGAGCCTTAGCTGGTTTGAAAGGCCTCTGGCTCTCAGATCTGTATGGCTGTGGCAGCTTATAACCACCTACGGACACGTGTAGGATATGTGTGTAGTGCAGGTTATCACACGAGGGACACAAGTCCATGGGTCATCACTTGGAAAGGGAACTTCTGGGATCATCAATGGTAACGGCCATTCAAAGCTGAAGGGGTTCCCTCGTTCAAAATCTCCGGACTCTTCATACGCAACAGGCCAGTTCTCCCCAGGGAGAACATAGCACTCCTCAGATGAAATGAGAGGGATGGAATGGAACTTTCGAAGTGGGGCCTTGGGCCGCCCCACACAGCTGTTAGTGCCAGCAACCTCTGCCATCCTCACGACCTCTGTGGGACTCCCAGGGAAAATATTTCTAAGAGGAGGAGAGGGAGAAGGAGACCCTGCCACTGAGGATGTGCCAGACGTTGGGAAAATGCCTGGCACGCTTCCATGTGCTTGCTTCTCATAAGAGCCCCCTGGGGAGGAACAGTCACGCTTTCTAGCTTAGATGCGGAAACTGAGGCAGGCAGGAGACATAGCCTGCCGAGGTCCCACAGCCCTGAGCCGCGCAGCTGGAGCTGGACCCAGGCAGGCAGGACCTGCCATCTGGGAGCGCTGTGATAAACATTCCTTAGACTGCCACCGAGTGCTGGCTCTGCAGGCGCTGTGTTGGGCATTTTCTGTGTCTTAGCGCAGGTAAGCCTCAACAGCCTCGCAAAGTCCGTGTTATTATCTTCACAGCACCAGCGTGGAAATTGAGGCCCGGTGAGTCACCTACTGTAGTTGAGGCAGCTTCCGTTCAGCTCGGCGGGACCTCCAGCTCAGCGTGATGGGCTGTCCGTATTGCTGGCTCTGTCCTCCCCGACGCCTGGCTTTCACAAGACAAATAAACATTTTCCCTTCTTCTTAAAATCACAGCCAGGAAGGGGCCTCCTAGTACATCTGGCCTAGGGCCATGCTTCCCAGCAGACCAGTGTCATTATCTCAAGCTTGACCAGTGACCTGCCCAAGGCCACACAGCCAAGGGACACACCGAGGTGTCGGGGCACTGACGTCCGCAGGACGACCTCCTGTTGACCGATACTGCTTTCCCCTCTGCCAGCTGTGTTCTCATGACAGCAGATAGCTTTATTTGGGACATTTCAGACGTTTTCCTCTCTGCGAAATATCCAATTGACAAATCATCATGAGAATATGCATTACGTTTTCCTTTCTAAAATTATAACTATCTCCCACCATTTGTCAAATGCCCAAGAACACAAGAAAACCGACTCCTCCCAGCTGGTTTTCATTAGATGATTTGGTGTCTAATATTCAAATTTGTCCAAAGACGGTCCCAATCTTCTGCCAGAAGCTGACTCAAGCTGATCCTCCCCAAAGCGATGTGCGAGGCTTTATGTCACGTGCACACATCCCACACATGGACGGAAATGGAGACCTGTCAGGCTTCTGCTACTCAGCCACTGTTTCCTAGGAATGAGCTCATGGAACAGCTGGTCCATGTTTAATGACACTGTCATTTTTACAGGGAGGAGTGTGGTTAAGCATTTACCCAGGGTGGAGGCATCACTGTGGTTCTACTGAACTCCAGCTTTTAGCACTCACTCCTCTGCTCAACAAACCATGACGGCCTCAATATCATATAAGAGAAAGCCCAGCAGAAATCTCCATTTTAGGGTTATCAAGCACCTGGGCAGGCATATTTCTTTAAAGACATGAGGGAGATATTCGGTTCCTAATCTAAACTGCCGAAAAAAATATTTGCAACAGCTGTGAAAAAGGTTAATAAGCAATCCACAAATCAACAAGATTATAAATATCAGCACTCACTCTAAGACATGTTTTGACAATTTGAAAAAGAACTTCAGATGACTAAGAATTAGTTAGCTGCCAGTTTTTAGCTGTCAAATTTACAAAGCTGAGATAATCACAGTATTTAATCCTGTGATGAGAAAACACTCTCAGACAACACAAATGAAAGTGTAAACTGATACACCCTTTCAGGAAAGCGACTTGGAAACAAGCTCCTCATAACGGTCCTTAACCGTGTTTATATGCTTTGTATTTAAATTGCACTTCTAATATTCGAATTTAAGGAAATAATTTAAAGTACAAAAACTTCACTCTAAAAGATGTTCACTGCAATGTTATTCACCATAGTAAACAAACACAAAAGCCTGAGTGTCCAGCAACACGGAAATGATGATGTGATGGTGTGTCCTCAAAGCTATATTGTGTGGCCACTAAAACATTTTTACAGAGCATTTGATGCAAGAGTTATGTTTATTTCTTTCCTTAAAAAAAGATTTAAAAATGCACTATTTAGAGACACACAATTGAGACTATGTTAAAAAAAAAAGTCACAGATAAAAGAATGGAGAAAAACAAAACCAAATGTTAACAGGTATTATGCTTGGTCAAGTATGAGGTATAATTTTTATTTTCTACTATTGCCTGAATTTTCCTTATTATTTTTCTATAATAAACATGTATTATGTTTAATATAATAAATTAAATATTTTGTTTCAACAACAATTACCCTTGTTGCTGATTTCTTCATTTATTCAACAGAAAAACCTCTTGTAAGCCAAACCTCAGGAAAAATGCTGTGAGGATAATAAGCAGCTAGTGCAAATGTTCCTACCCCAGCCGAGGAAGTCAGGGAGGGCTTCCTGGAGGAGGGGGAACTGAGGCTGGAAGGATGGAAAATGATGGGAAACACTGTTCAGGAGCTCAGTATGACTGGAGTGTAGGACCCCCATGGGAGAGAGGCAGGAAGGAGGAGGCTAAGAGGCCCCCGGTGCCATGATATGGGTTTAAAATGTATCCTGTAAGCTATGGGAGTCATTAAGGATGGTAAGGCAGGGAACCATAGCGTGAGGGTTGTGTTTTCTTTCTCCTTTTGTGAAGATAGTAAGGCAGACTTTATTCCAGGGGGCCGCGATGACAGGCACAGGGATGGCTGTGACGGGGCCTTGCCACGGGGAGAGAGGCTGTTTTCAATCCCAAGGCTGGCGTGTCCTAGGATCACTAGGACACCAAGACGAAGATGCAGGTGCGGTGGGGCCAATCTTGGAAGCAGATGGACTAGGAGGCTGCCGAGGTCACCATGCGAGGGGAGGGGCCTCAGCCAGGTTCACGATTCCACTGAAGATGGGAGGGGAACATGCTGGAGGGAGCCCTGCATCCGGCAGCTCTGAGGTGGGGGGGACGAGAAACGCAGGAGAAGCAGCTGCTGGCAGGGTGACGAAGAGTGTTGGGGGAAAGGGGGGTGTCAAGTTGTCAGATGGAATTCAAAACAGGGGTCTGGGCAGGACATGGGGGCGTCCAGGGGTTGTAAAGTCATAATGTGGCTGCAACTGCAAACGAGTGTCCTGTAAATATGGCAAAGGAGAAGGATTAGGAGCAACACCATCACCCGAGGGTGCAAACTGCATGAAAGCAAGTGGAGAAGCCCAGGAACCCGGGGGAGGCTGACGGAGCCTGAGTGAATGGTGTTAGGGAAGCTATAGGGCTTGGGGGCTGGGCCAGTCCTGTGCCGGGAACACAACTGCCACTCCACCCCGGTTAGGCCATTTCATGTCAGGATCCCAAATTAATACTGTGAAAGTCACACACAGGGAACGATCAATGAATGAACGAAAGCATGCTCCACACTTTGACACTGTTGGTGGGAGTGTAAATTAGTTCAACCATTGTGGAAGACAGTGTGGGGATTTCTCAAGGATCTAGAACTAGAAATACCATTTGACCCAGCAATCCCATTACTGGGTATACACCCAAAGGATTATAAATCATTCTACTGTAAAGACACATGCACACATATGTTTATTGCAGCACTATTCACAATAGCAAAGACTTGGAACCAACCCAAATGCCCATCAATGATAGATTGGATAAAGAAAATGTGGCACATATACACCATGGAATACTATGCAGCCATAAAAAAAATGAGTTCATGTCCTTTGCAGGACATGAAGCTGGAAGCCATCATTCTCAGCAAACTAACACAGGAACAGAAAACCAAACACCACATGTTCTCACTCATAAGTGGGAGTTGAACCATGAAAACACATGGTCATAGGGAGAGGAACAACACACACCAGGGCCTGTCGGGAGGTAGGGGGAAAGGGAAGGGAGAGCATTAGGACAAATACCTAATGTATGCGGGGCTTAAAATCTAGATGACAGGTTGATGGGTGCAGCACACCACCATGGCACGTATATACCTATATAACAAATCTGCACGTTCTTCACACCTATCCCAGAACTTACAGTGAAAAAAAAAAAAAAACTAGAAACAAGCGATCTGTGAAAATGCTTTGTGATGTGGATTTAAGTCATGAAAGAAAGAAAGAAAAAGAAAGAAAGAAAGAAAGAAAGAAAGAAAGAAAGAAAGAAAGGAAGGAAGGAAGGAAGGAAGGAAGGAAGGAAGGGAGGGAAGGAAGGAGGAAAGCAGGAAGGCAGGGAGGGAAAGAAAGAAAGAGATGAAAGAAAAAGAAAGAAAGGAAGGAAGGAAAGAAGGAAGGAAGGAAGGAAGGAAGGGAGGGAGGGAGGGAGGGAAAGAAAGCAAGTGCACTCCAATCTATGATGTCAAGGACACGTCTCTTGGCTCCATGCGGCTTCTGCAGTACCAGCAGGGTTTGCTTCACTCCTCTCGTCTGCAAACCCTTCACCACCAAGACCTCTCAGGGCCTCCCTTTCTCTAGGAAGAGATAAAAATCCCCAGGCCCAAGAAGAGGGGCAGAAGAATAACATACCAAAGACATGTTGGCTTGTTGGTACCTCTGGGAACCAACTCATTCTTAGGTGAAGAGTGGATTCCAACTCTGACTCTAATTAAAACCTTTGAGAAAAATTGGGATCCCTAGGTTTCACAGGTATAGATTACTTCAATTATACATATTTTGTTCAAAATCACAGCACATACGTCATCAAGGACTGCTGATCATTTTAAAAGAAACCTAAAAAGAATTTAAAGGAAACCGAAAACCAAGAATATCTTGCATTACTGCACAGGACTGCCAATGCGCCCATTTACAGACAACTGAGGTGCTCGATTTGGGGGACGGAGCCCGATTCAAGAGCTTTCCATGTGCCAGGCACTGTGCTGAGTGCTGTGTGTCGATTCTCTTATTAATTCTTACAACACGCCCACGAATTAGACCCATTTTCCAAGGAAGGCATAGAAAGGCCAAATAACCTGCTTGAGGTCGTGTGGACAATCAGTGGTGCGGCCAGGGTGGGGCCGTCCATGCCAGAGCCCATGCTTGTGAACAGGACCCTGGGACACCCCTGGGGAAGGCCATGAGCACCTGGGTGCTTTGAATCAAAGGCACACAGGTTAAGGGATCACTGAAGCAGGACTGCAGTTGCCATGGAAACAGCATTTACTATTCAAAGACCTTCAGAGGTGTTCTTGCAAATCAAGACAGCAAGAAAGAATCCTTCCACAAATGACCGCCGTGTTGACTGCAGCTTGAGGGTCTTCAGAACAGTACGGGACACCCATGTTTGCTGCAGGGAGGTGGCACTGTCTATCCAGACAGTAGAAGTTTCAAGTTCAAAAAGAGCCAACTCAACCATGCTGAAAAAATGTTAACACACCCTCCCTACATAAACACAATGTCACTTCCACACGGTGTCCAGTTTTCATATTAATAACATTTTACAAATAATGTAAATTCGTTTCATTTTTGTAGTCGTTTTTGGAAGTTTCATAGCATGAAATGAATTACTCAGAATAAAACCCCAATTTTAAATATTGTGCTGATAATAAACAAGGCATCAAAGTAAGATGTGTTGACTTGTTTGTATCTCTGGAAACCATCTCATTCTTAGGTGAAGAGTAGATTCCAACCCTGACTTTCTAATTAAAACCTTTGAGAAAAATGGAGATACCTTTTTCACAGATTATAGATTACTTCAATTATGCATGTTTTGTTCAAAATCACAGGCTCACAAATTAACATTATTTCAATATGTAATATAAAAACATCTTGAGAATTCACATCAGTAAATAAGAAAATCAGCATTTTTTCTTTTTTTAAACTAAATTACTATTGTATTTTACCTTAACCTTAGAATTTTTTCTTTAACCTTAGAATTTTAGTTTCATTAATTTTAAAAAGCATAAATGAAGTAAATGGTTTATTTCACAATAAGAAATTATTTAATAGTAAGAAGCTTATTTAAATGTTTTCATGAATAAGTAAAATTATAAGTATTCTTAAAGTGATGTGAAGAACTTACAAATTCTTCAGAATCAGCCCAGTGCAATGGTCTGATGACAAGCCTGAAGTCATCTGTTGGCTTCCAAAGAAAACCCTACATTCAGTTTTATGAATGGAAATTCTTGGCTGTCACTGAATTCTGCAGTGTAATGGAACACGAGATGAAGGAGGCATGGAAATCTGGATGCTCCAGGAGTCTTAACAAGTGGTCATCATCCTCTGAACCCAGCAATTTCCCTTCTAGCAACAATCAAAGATGAGTACGAAGATGATTGCCTGTGGATGTTCATCCCAATGTTCTTTATACCAGAGAAGGATGGGGCTTGGGTACATCAGCTGTGGGAAGCAGAACGCTACGCAGCCGTAGAAAAAGTACATATAGAATGATTATAAAAGGCGATTTGCTCCAAATTAAAAAACTCACAGAGAAGTTCAAAGGTGGCAGCAAAAACACCCTTGCAGAGGCCAGACCCTTCACTTCAAAAAAAAAGTCCATTCAGTCTTGGAGCAGCACTCCTTGCCGGGGAGTTCTCTTCACGCCTCCCTGGAGCTGTTACCCCTACACACAACAAGGTGGCTTTTCTGTTCCCGAGGCAGCATGCCAGCAGCTGAACACACTGCCAGACCGCCGAGGCCCCATCATTTGCTGATGGACCTCAGTCCGGTCAGAGGTACAATCCAGATCTGAATAACAGCAACCAGCACAGCTGTGGACAGGCCGGGCAGCAGGCGCACCTGCGGACGGAAAGGCAGTGGAGAACCGCCCGGCCTCTTTGCCGTGAACTCAATCTCCTTGGCTTGGGCCCCCTCCTCTCCACTGCCAGTCCCACTGCGGCCCCAGTCAGGACTCAGTCCTCTGTGGTCCTTCCTCCCCACGACTTCACTAAAATGGCTCCGGCTGAGGTCGCCAGGACCCTCCCTTTTGCAAGGTGCAAGTGACATTCTTCCCCGTGTCTCCCTTGGGTCTCTCTGCAGCACAGTCACTGCTGTTTCCCCTCTGCCCCCACCCCTCACCCTGCTCCTCCCTCCCAGTGCCCTGAGGGCGACCCTTCCTCTGCTCACCCCTTCCTTGTTTCTGAGGTTCCCAGGGCTCCACCCTGAGCACTCTGCTCCACTGACCTACTTAGGAGACCTCATGGAACTATGTGACTTTGACCACCCTGTCCACTGATGGCTCCCCTCTCCCATACGACCCAGGCGAACTCACGTGAACCTTTGC